TGTTCATTTGATACCTATCATTTTTAAATGCTGAATTTCCTCATTTAATGCATATTTTCTATCATACTTGAGACCATTTTCTCCTAGAATTTCCTCCCTCTCTATGGCCCCTTCTACATGTTACATTTGTGCTGTGATTAACATGTATGTTACTACTCTCCTGTCCCCTGTGGGAACAACTGTGAAAATACAAATGACTGCCATCTTCTTTAAAAAAAGCCTTTGTATATTTGAGGGCTCTTATCAAATTCCTCTCAGTTTTCTCTTCTCTAGGCTAGTTCTTCAGATCCTTCTTTATATGCTGTATTTTCTAGACCTATAATAATTTTTTGTTTCCTTCTGGAATCTTTTTAATTTGTCCAACTTTTTTTTTGCAGTGGTGCAAAAACTGAACATACTAGTTCAGCTGAGGCTTCACTGCTCTTGAATAGAATGGAAAAATCATTTGCCATAACTTGTTTATGGCGCTCCTGTTAAATACATCCCAGTATCCCAGAAGATACTAATTCTATATGCTCTTCAATCTTGGCATAAATTAACATGCTTTGTCTTCAGATCTTAAAGAAAGGGATTTGTTAAACTGCTGAATACAGGGTCTTTCCATAAGCATACATAATCCCTTACTTACTCAGATCATGCAAATGTTAATAGTGTATCGGTATTTCATCAGTGGAATTATGCTTTGATGATTATCTATCCTGAAAAAGACGGTTCTGTGTTTTTGAATTCTCTCTAGGCCTTTCCATCTCCTATTGTTTCACAAGGTTCCGAATTTGAAATGAAATTACCCATGAAGGAAAAGGCCCCAACTGAAAAAGCAGAAATTTTATTTTTACTAGTTTAGAAGCAAGAATGTTCTGTTTCTTCTGTTGTCTCCTCCACATATGCACATAAAGCAAACAGTAAGCGTCTTTGACAAGAAAGAATTGCAACTACTTCATATCCCTTTCTTACAATGACCCTATTAAGAGGACTTCATCCTCTTAATATTAGTCTTGTAGACCCCACCTTCAATAACGCCTCCATTATTTGTAACGCCCACACATACAAAAATGAAAACTTTTCAAAGTGTTAAAGAAAATTTTAAAAAACTATTTTGAGTCCATTAAAGCTAAGGTCAGGACCATACAATTTCAAAGGAACAAAGTGCAATAGGGGATCTGAAAGTGATTATTTTTTTGTGCCCAACGATTCTTTGAAGTTTCGTTACTCACGGTAAGTCTTCCAATCTGGAGGCTTCATGTCTTGGGTCCAAAAGATCATAACCACACTCATTGTAGATTTCCAAGTAGGAAACATGGGTTGTGTACACTTTGCTGCTGTCCTGAATAGGAAAGGAAATAAAAAGAAGAGCTATAAATAGCAAGCAAAGTCTCAGGGCAGATGGACAAATTTATCACTATAGCTTCCATGTTGCCTCATCACCCTGTTTCTCATTCTTTTCCTGGATATGTTTTACATTTTCAATTCGTGACACTTTTAAGTTTGTCTGTTACCATATGAATGAAGGCTTAAAGAAAAAAAAAAAAGGGACCTACGCCCATCATAAGAAGCAAGTTTAGCCTTTTATTTTTTTTTTTTGCAAACTGAAGAAAGCTTTAAAAAAAAAAAAAAAAAGGGACCTACGCCCATCATCAGAAGCAAGTTTAGTCTGTTACTTTTTTTTATTGGTTCCATATATCTAAAAAAATCTGTATACACTTAGAATGCGGCTGCTTGGTTGCAGAATTGTGTAACATACTATTTTTCACTTCTATGACAAAGAGCCATGTTACCAAAGAGGTAAACCCTCATATTATGGATAAAAAGACTATCCTTAAATAACAACATAAAGATTTACTTCCTTTAGAAACTCCAGTGACACTTTGTTTTCCATGTTCTTTATCAAAATATTTAACCGTGACGTATGCTGTCAACTATTCTCTGTAGCCCTTCTGCATTCTATACTTTCAGAATGTAACATAACCCAACTGGTTCCTGCAGACAGGATTCTCTCCTCTCCAGGAGTCAAAACCAAACAAAGTAAAACTCAAAACACTGAGCTACAGTTTACAAAATGTGAGTGAATGAATTTATTTCATTGGATAAAGCAACTATAAAAGCAACCACATCATGCCTGTAGTGAGAGTTTCCTACTCAAATCTGCTAACTTTATTTTATAAGGCTATTTTGAGAAAAGAGCTGTTTATTTTTTTACTGAATAACATTATTTAATATGAGATTTTAATTGATTGTGACAGATTAGTATTTCATGGAATATGAAATATTCCCTATTTTGAAAGACATACTGTGGTATATGAGAAAAAAATCTGTATCACAAAACTGGAAATTGTAGAGGACATTTCTGAACAGGACAAAGAGATGTATTAGACTGTGATGCTCCTCACTCTTAGTTGTAGCCAGTTGTGCTTCCTTGAACCTGAGGTGACTGGTCCAATTCAAGTTACAGGTGGGCAGGAATAGATCCATCTTACATCACTGGAATGACTCCTCTATATAAATTTGCTACACTGCACTAAATGAGGAGGGCAATCTAATAATTGATGATATAGGGGAAGGCTAAAGTAATGAATGGCTATTTTTACTTCAGTCCTTACAAATAAGGTCAGCTAGCAGATAGTGAGCACCTTTAGCAGCAAAGAGAGGAGAGAAGATAACCAGCTCAGAGTAGGGAAAAAATAAGTTAGAGATTACTTAGTCAAGCTGAATGTTTTCAAATCAGCAGGGTCAAATGAGATTCACCTGGAGTACACCCGGAATTGAATAAGCCAATTGCAGGGCCATTAGCTATTATCTTAGAGAAGGTAGGCAACCTCCATATAAAGGGAAAAGGACAACTGTAGTTCCCAAATTTAAAAAAGGAAAAAGGAGGATTGAGGGAATTAAAGACCAGTCAAGTGTATCCTTGATACCTGGTAAGATTACAGAATGTATGATCGAACACCTGGAGAAGGATCAGGAACAGCCAACATGGGTTTGTTGAGAGCAGGTCATGGTTGACCAACCCGATTTCTTTCTATAACAAGGTGACGGGCTTTGACAGGAGGAATGCAGTGGATATGATATCCCTTAACTTTAGTAAGGCTTTCAGTAGGGCTGTGCAAAGCTTTGGTCACTGATTTTATTTGGCAGAGATTTGGCCTGATTCAGTGGCCGAATCTCCAAATCTGAATCAAATTAGGAGTTCTATTAATCTCTCTGAATGGAATTGGAACCTTCCAAATTGATTCGGAGAGATTCAGAAAGATTTGATGATTCGGACATAGACACAGCTTTAAATGTTTCTTCTATATAGCTGAAGGTAGCAGGTGGCTCACGAATGCTGAGATGCTAGGGCGGATGAAGCATGCCACAGTAGCACGGGGGGGGTCCCTAATGTGCTTGGCAGCAGACCCAGAAGTGGACCAGAAGCACTTCTGGGTCCACCAGGGAATGCACAGGGGCGCTCCCCACACGCCTCCTGGCTCAGCGACTGGTGCCTCCTAGGTCTGAAGGGGCATCCGAGGTCCCCCTGCGGCCAATTGCCGAACAGTAGACTCATTTCACTTGATTTGCAAGTGACAAATCCTGTTAATATAGCCCAGTATGCTTGTAGCTCTTTTTTTGCAACACGAGCATAATCAGCTAACCCCCACTATTAGATTCTAGGAAAATATGGATGAAACAGCTACCATCACAAAAGGAGCATCTATGCTTTCTCTGCACCCTGGATCGTAACTGGAGATCTACTGGCTGTAGGATCACAGACCTAGGTTTATATATAAATTCAGTAGCCAAAACCAACACACAGATTTTGTACAGGTGCAGCAACCACTTATGCAGCACACAGAACTGCTCTTGTTATCTGCCTGGCTATAATCACATGGCATTTCCTTTTCAATGGACAAACATTGAACATTTACACAAGTTTTGCATAGGAAGAAGTGAATTTCTTATTGCCAGTTGTCACGGAGCTGGGTCCTAGGAGCGGCCGTGATCTCTCCAGACGCCCCCTACCGTGCCAAGTCCGAGATAAAGCACCCTTATTCTCACCCGCCACGTCTTTGATGTTAGGTATTTTATAAGGGAGGCTGCCTTTTTGTCCCCTTGGACATGGTGCTCTGGTGTATCCTGGCCCCTGTTCTGTATTGACTGACTTGGTGCACCCCAGCCTTATGGGCTATGCGTGGCTCCTACCACCCCTGTACCACGCCCCAAGCCCCACAGATGTACCAGACATCGTATGGTCGATCCCTTGCCACGCCCTTACGGGCGCCCCCTGGCTTGTCCTGCAATTGCCCACGCCCTCACGCGCTCCCTGGGCTTGTCTCACACTGGCCCAGGCCCTCATGGGCTCTTTGGCCTCTTTCACAATGGTCTGTACCCTCACGGATGCTCTCTGGTTCACCTTACGGCCTGCACCCCACAGGCGTTCCCTGGCTTCTCTCACGGTTGCCCCACGCCCTCACGGACGTTCCCTGGCCTCTCTTTTCTCACAGTTGCCCGCGCTCCCTGCAGACGCTCCCTGGCCTCTCTCGCAGTTGCCTGCGCTCTCACCAATGCGCACTAGGGCCTTCTCTCACGACCATGCCCGCTCTGGGGCCTTCTCTCACGACCATGCCCGCTCCAGGGCCTTCTCTCGATTGGGGCTCAGGTAGCCGTAGCCATCCCTGGCCCCAAACCCCCCTCCTTGGGTCTCAAAGCAAGTGCCCTCTGGGCTTCTTGCCTGCGCCTGCCCTTGGGCTTCTCACAATTGGGGCTCAGGTGGCCATAGCCGTGCCTGGCCCCCAAATCCCCTCCTTGGGTCTATAAGTTCCTGTGGGGCTCAGGCAGCCTCGGCCTTACCTGGCCCCCGATCCTCTGTGCCCCTTCTCAGGGCTGGGGTCAGTGCACCCCTGAATGCTGTGCCCTCTCTGGCACTGGGGTCCCCACACTACTGTGGAGCCCCTATGAGGCCTCCTCCAACCCCTATTAGCCTCACCCGGTCCTCCGGTCTTATAAAACTACAAACAGAAAACTTAAGCCCCTGGGCTACAACATAAACTCTAAGCCATCTCGCTAACCATCATTCAAATCCCTACCAGGGCTTCCTCCACCTGGTATCCTCAAACAGAAGCTGCTCAGGCCATCAGGCTTCTCTACTCTGCTTACTCCCGCAGAGCTCCTTCTTCCTCGGCTGCTAGCGGAGAACTGCCTCCCTGGCCCCAGCCTGGATTGTATTTATATAGGTCAGGCCCTGCCCCCTTCCAGTCAGCTGACCAACTGCGGTTGCCACGGCAACTGTACCCCTTTATAGGAGCAGGGCACTGAAGTGCCCTGCGACACCAGTGAAATCCTCCACTATAAATAGGGACCTACTTAATTTGTGGCCAGACGAAGGAATTTTCACAGCTTGGTTGCAGCATGAAGAGCTGATTTCATGGGCATTTCCCAGAGACACCACCCCTTGACACTGACTGCCAGAGAGGCCCTGAGGAGAAGAAAGGACAATGGGGCAGCCGCCATCTTGGCTGTTGGCTGCCCTTCATATGGTCCAGCCCCTCGCTGCTGATTGGTGGAGAGACTCCAGGGCCAAGGAGGGACAAGGGGGTGGCCACTATCTTGGCTGCTGGGTGCCCTTTGCGCCACCCGATGCCTTCACCAGCCAGGGCCTTCCCTTCCTAGGCAGGCTGCAAGGCAGCAAGGAATTCCAGCTTCCACTGAAGAGCCAACATTTTATTTTAATAAGTTTTTAAAATTGATTTCACAGACAATTGTGCATTTTGCGGTTTCCACAAAATTGTAAATTAAGCAGTTCCCTAACTATAAAATGTACTGTATGCCTGTCTAGAAAGTCCACATATTTTATTTAATTGTCTGCCTAGAACTAACTGTGTTACCAATGTATCTTTTTAAATGAAAAAAGCCAGGCACTGCTAAACATTTATTTGCATGGCTCTATGTCTCAAAAGGAGCCTTGTGCAATTATATACAATAATAGAAGCTGTTTCATTTCCATCATCCCATCCACCAAAAATACTCTTCTTTCAAAGCTGCTTCACTCTACTCTGACTATACCTTATAAAGCAATAGGGAAGTTACAATTCACCAAAAGCATAGTGAAGTAATAGCAACAAGCATATTTGTATAATACATCTTAGGATTTTAAATGCAATTTTTTAAAATAAACCAGTGCATTCACGTTGCCTATGACTATTACCCTTACTTCAGCATATTTAAAGGGCCCACTGTAAATGAAAAAAAAAGAATGGAAGAACAGAAAGGACCTCCCTGGCACGCGTTACATTTAAAACAGGATTAACAGGTTGATCACACCTTAAATAGTAACCGGGGACATGTGCAACT